CGAGCTCTTTTGACGACAAGACTCAAAGTTCAGGAGATAAGACCTCCTCTTGGTATCAGCTAAACGTCTGATTTTCGCATTCATCACACTTTTATTGCACCTTTTTAAAACACTGAGCAATCAAAACGCAAACTTTTACTATTCTTGGTAGTACCACCCATTGGATTCTCTATAAAATGAGATCAACAGGATATTTTTAACACTTCTCAGAAACAGGCCAGCTGCACCTTTCGTCAAAGATACTCCGAGGTTCAACCCACATCAAAACATGATACACTGCAATTATCATACTGACCTACAAAACGTGCGCATGTGCAACATAACATAAACCTATGACATCCATTATCATCTGGATCGATACAAAATAACTACACTGTCTCATATTTAACATAACAGTTCTACACTGGGAGTTCCTCTGTTTTTCTCTATTATGGTGGTGTCAAAAAGTGTGATGTGAAGATTCTCAATACAATATAACAGTTGATGCATAAACAAGGATGCACAATACAAATGTTGACCATCAGACATTTTATGTTCATTTTCCATGGGCTTTGCCATTTTTGCAACACTGTCACCAACATTTAAGATATTTTGCAAAGCTCTAGCAATAAAAGTTAAATGTCAAAATTAAATGGACATTAAAAAAAAATGTGTGAGTGGGTAAAAGGGGTGCAAATTTTAGCCTAAATTATGATGTTTCTAGCTGGATCTAGCTAGTTTGGGACAATTTTTTGGTGTTCTAGTTAGTGATAATATTTGGCATAAATTAAAGGATCTGTTTGATAATTGTTTTCTTACAATAACTAGGGTAACAGGGCTGAAAGGCTAAACTGGACTCATGCAATCTATACTTTAATTTGTGCAAATATTGAGAAAATCTTATCCATGCTCCCACCATGCTTTAGCGGGTCCAAATGATCTGATTTCATGGGCGTTACAGGAAATATAGTGTGGTAGCAGGGTTGTGCAAAATGTGGGGGACAGCTAAAAGAAATGGCTATTATTAGTAGCTACCATTATTAGTTAAATATTTAGTGATTAGTTAATGGTTATAAAAATGAAAATAGTTTTAATTAGACAGGCCAAAGTCCCATTTTTAAAGGGTACTGTCTGTTTCAAAATCAAAATTCTAGATTGGAGATGTAGTTTGAACACTTTTCATAAATCATAGTGGCCATCATATCGGTTTTCAAACAGATTTTTTTTTGCATGTTTGTCACACTTTAATGTTTCAGATCATCAAACAAATTTAAATATTAGTCAAAGATAACACAAGTAAACACAACATGTAGTTTTTAAATGAAGGTTTTTATTATTAAGGGCGATTTATCGTGCAGCCCTAATATATACATAATAAATATACACAGTATACACACATATATTATGTAAACAAAAACTTTTATTTTGGATGCGATTAATCGCTTGACAACACTAATAGATAGATTATGATAACACCCAACATTTCAATTTCAGTGCACCCCTAGTTGTGATGTGTGCCAAAAATTATGAAAGAAAGAGACTGTATTTTGTTCATTTACCTGGTATTTTTTCCAAGAGGAACATCATATAAGCATTAGTAAGCTACACATTAGGTAAATGTCACACATAACAGTACAATGTATTTACATAAACTGCACTGTATCAATGACATTTTCGAAGTTGTAAATAAAACAAAGATTATTGTAGACTGTTTTACAAGAAAATACTGTAAAATCTCACGTTTAATGTGTTACTTGCCGTTTCTTTGTAATTGTCTGTACAATTTGCAAGTAATTTCCAAGTGAAAATTATGTAAATCCCACATTTTTTTTCAGTGTACGTGTACTCATTATATTATATTATTTAGTGGAATAGTTTATAATTACACAATCTTACTATTATACAAAGACACTGTAACGTTTAGTAACGGTTATGTCTCAGTATGAAAGCAATGCCTGGAGGGCTTTAGGTGTCATCTTCATCTCTCTGGATTACCTGGTTCCGAATGTTCTGAAGGTGTGCCATGTCCAGTTTAATTCTACCTCCAGTTCGGGGGTTCTCAGATTTTTCCCTTTCTCTCCTTCTTGGACAGTCACCACTTATCAAAGGAACAGCTTGTTCCCAATCCACGCCTCTCTAAATCATTCCGGTGTATCAGACTGGCCAGCGCTATAGCTTACAATGATTTTAATATGTAATTCTGTCCATTCATAAGAGCAGACACTCAGTCTTTGGTATGGATGTTTACGGTTTATGCTCTGTACAGGAGACTCCCTCTATACCCCGCTACTTTGACTAAGAGAGAGGAATTGTGTTCAGTGCATGCGTGATAATCTCCTTCAAAGCCCAAAGACTGCTGGGAATCGTAGTTTTTACTTTGGAAACTTGGCTGTTTATAGAGGTTGTGCAACAAAAAATTTTTTTTAGAGATATACAATTTAAGTACGTGAGTATAATTTGTAAATCTTTAGTTTAAATTTTTTTTTACTTTCGCTTAAACATTTCCTATTTATCATACAATAGATGGACAGTTACACACCTATATTACGTCGGTTTATTAATATGACAAACATACCATGCTGGTCTTAGTATTTTAAAGTCCTGTTTTGAGCAAATCATAGCTGTTTTCTTTGCCCTAAATCTACATATTCCGCTAAACCTCACTCTCACAAAGCTTCAATTAAAGCATTAGGCTATTTAATTTCTTTCATTCAATTGAGAAACAACTGCAATGTAGCCTACGTGATTTCAGGTTTTTACTACATTGTGAGTAGACATGTAGGATAAGATGTCAGGACACCGTCACATTTCTAATTATGAGGGCATTTGTGTTATTTTCAGCATCCTGTAGCCTACTTGTGTACATGAAGATTTCTTGTGCAGCATATGTGCAAAGTGCAGGTTAATTTCAGTCTGGGGTTTATGTCGCAGTGGTTATCCTTTTATTATGGTAAAAACCATTTCATGCAGCTAGTCAAATTTTCTTCTCTATCTAGGGACAGTTAGCATTCCAATATCCTGTTCAGTTTCAGTTTTGGTCATCTTAAATATTTTTCTTTCTTTTTTTTAATATATTTTGTATAATATCTTCATATCACTTTTCACACTTGTTTTTCTTTTAATGTTGATAAAGTAAATTGTATACCTAATTGGCAAAATGCCTTTGTAGGGTAGACATCACAGACCTTTTAAATCAGATTCTGAGTATGTTGCAATTTTTGAAACATTTTTAATATACAAAATGCCCTTCATACCCTTCATGGTTTGTTTTGGAGCCTTAATGAAGTTTTCTGTTGGTGCTTATAGTGAGTTCAAGGTAATTATAGTTTTAGATGTTTTTCTAAGGGCACATTTTCTAACCTAAAGCCTAAATTAGTCTTTGTGGCTATATATTTATTTATAAGTTTTTATTTTATTTCCAGATCACAATGAGTTATGGATGTTCCTGTATGGTGTACTAAGGAAATAATTTTGTGGTAGGCTACTAAGGAAATGATTTTGTAACTTCCTCTTTTTCCCTGTAGGGAGCAGTATTGTACAAAGATGTTGTCCAAAGCCAAGATAAATTTATTAAAATTTATTTCAGGGTTCAAAATAATTGTTGATTTGTAAACTTACAAGATTTTATTTTTATCTATGATGACCAGTTATCCTATCTCTATTTTGATAATAAAAAGCCAGATATGAAGAAAGAATGTAACTATGAGAAGTCGTGATAGGCATGCAGAGGCATGTAGGGGTTCTGCAGAAAACGTAAGCATTATTCCTCAGAGGTGTGCTGTGTTACAACTTACTGAGGATTATAGTCTCTACAGTGTCTCATTCACTGGAAATGAATGAAGTGTAAACTGCAGCAGCAGTAGCCTAACACTGGCCTCCATCTGTCTGTATTCAGTTGTGTTTTAACAAGATAAACTGCCACGAGCATTTTTATATTCTATTTTTTTTATATTCTATTCTATTTTTAATAGGCCTTAGAATCAGATAGAATATTTTGGTTTTTAAATTGGGATACAGAGGAAGCCTCAAATGTGGTCAGAAAAAAAAGGAACTGTATCATTTTGTGCCACTGAGATAAACTTCAGCTTTCAACTCATTGTTCCCATGCTGAACAGAACTGCCTGGTTGATCTTGTTCTACTTTTTGTTCTTTTCTGTCCGTTTTTAAGGAAGTTCACTGTACTGTGCTTGAATAAGCTTTTTGTAAAATTGTACTCCATTACTGAATCAGTTATTCAACAATGGAAACTTGATATGTGAAGCATATTCCTGCTCACAAGGAATTACTAGACATGTCAAAACAAATCTTGGGGTTTAACTTTGGGAAAGCCGATGTTTCAGCTGGGTGGGTGGCTCTAATGAATTCTAACTGACATGCTTAAAGCAAAAACAGTCAAGACTTGCAAAACAACTCTATCCATGATGGTGGGTGGGACTGGAGTAACATGACCCTTTTTTGTTCAACTATGCACATTAACATACCTTTTACAAACATTTTATACACAAAATTGTTCTTGTTACAAGACAATGTAGTGAGTTTGTGGCAGACAAAAAGTTCATTTGACTAAAAAAATATGCAAAAAGCATCTATTGTAGTACATTATTTTTTTAAATCAAATTATTGATTGGCAATTTTTTGCAATTTCCATACTTAAAATGAGTGACAATACTAGAAAGATACACACACTCTATTTTTTTATTTTTTGTTTTACAGGTATTTAAAATTTTACATTGCAGTGTGTTGTGATACACTTAGACTTAGACACTTATATAATAGACTGCAACACCCAAAATACCCGTTCCCTTGTACATTTTTATACAGGACAGATTTTATTTGCATAAAAGACAGAGACAGACAGACAAAATTAATGGACAATGTCCTGGTAATGAGCTGCCAGTACCTTTTCTGTTATTTTATAATTTAATTAAAATTAATTTTATTTTATTCTTACAATAAAGATGGATGGATGGATCATAGACGGATGGATGGATGGATGGATGGATGGACGGACGGACGGACGGACGGACGGACAGACAGACAGATAGATAGATAGATAGATGTTTGTTTTCTACGTTTGTTCTTTGATTCATCAAATCTTCTGCTCTCTAAACACTAGCTCTTCTAGAAGGGCGGACATCAAACCATAACAGAGCTGGTTATCTCCGCCTTAACGGAGAGCTTTTCCATAGAAGGAGACTTCATGCGTGCAGCCCATCCAAACAGAGCGAAGACAGCACTGCCTCACTGCCTCCTTGACAGCAGTTTAATCTTACCCTCACAGACTGCACGCACCTCACAAATCTGTAGAGAGAACAATTTGCTGTCATTAAAAATGTCGCTATTCGAGACTTTTTGAGGATTTAAATGACTTGCGAGAAACAGCAAAGGCAATTGATAATTGATTCTCTGCTCTTTTGACCGCTTTATCCGGTTCACGTTCATTCCGACAGAAGGTGACAGCGAGTCTATTCTACTGATGCAGTAAAACACGCGAGTTTTCTTCTTTATGCAGATCGTTTAAGGCGCCATCAGACTTTGGAAACAGAAGAGGGTGGAGAAGAAACACTTCCATACACGGTGATAAAGGTGGAGGTTGTCAGCTGGTTGTAATTGATCTCCACTCATGAAGGGCATGGAGATGTTGCGCCGCTCCTCAGTGTTTGCGGCTGAAGTCATGGAGGCGTTTGATCGCTCTCCCACGGATAAGGAGCTCGTGTCTCAGTCTAAAGTCTTATGTAGGGATTACATTCACTCCAGACTTCATCGGGCTGGAATCGGATGGTCGAAACCAGAGCACGGATCTGGAGGAACACTGGCTGAGGTGTCTTCAGTTCTTCTGTGGTTGGGTAAGACATTTGACGTTTCACATGTGTACATTCATGATTAATGATTATGGGAATTTGCCATGGTGTTACAAGTACTAGTGAAGTGAACATCATATATATATATATATATATATATATATACTAAGGTACTGTATACCTATCTACAGTATCTGTTTGAATTGTGGGTTGATATATGGAGGTTATATTGTGGATCTGTTTTAAGAGCTAAAACTGCACAGAACTTCCTGTCAATTATGCTTGTCTGGTTCATACAAAAATAAATGAAAAAAAATGGGGCATTCATGAATGTTCTGTGAACTTTCAGAAATGAAAATAAACACGTGTTTCTCAGCTTCCTCAAAGCCAAACCATACGATTGCATAATATTTTACAACACTCTAAGGTCTGTCTGTGTCTCACCCACTGAAAAGTACTTTGCCTTTTGTACCACGTTGAACTATCTTCCACATTCCTTTCTTTCTTCCTTTCATGCCGCTGGACATTCTGAGCCCTTTCAGGAGATTGGATGTAATGACTATGGATAGCGTTTCATCTAATATCATCTGTTGATCAGACACACTACAAGTGGCCTAACATATACTCACATGACTGTCCTCTGAGTGACTCTCATCTGTCATTGTTCTGTAAGAACCTGTTTTCTCCTAAAAGGGAAAAGCACAAGAATTTTTATTTGAGACAACTGTGTAACTGGGGGGAGCTGCTTTTTATGGACAAAGCATGCAAACATGCAGATCATTATCACAAGAATGATTGAGGGTTTCCCACCCATATTTAACTAGGTTAACCCTGTACTGTCCTGCAAGCCCCGCACCTCACCCACCTGAATCACTGACATTAAGACGATTCATTTATTCATCAATTAAAATTATTCATGTGTGTGAGACATAACTGAACACATAGCTAAAGACTTATTTAAAGGAATAGTTCACCTAAAAATGAAAATTCACTCACCCTCAGGCCATCGAAGATGTAGATGAGTTTGTTTTGCAAAAATGTAACAATACATCGCTTGGTTTAAAGTTAAAATGCATTAATGATGGATTTGTTTCCTACAAACAAGCTTTTTGCTTCACAGTACGTCAATTGATGGACTAGACTTGAGCAGGGGTGCCCAAACTCGGTCCTGGAGGGCCGGTGTCCTGCAGAGTTTAGCTCCAACTTGCCTCAACACACCTGCCTTTAAGTTTCTAGTATGGCTAGTAAGAGCTTGATTAGCTAGTTCAGGTGTGTTTAATTGGGGTTGGAGCTAAACTCTTCAGGTCACCGGCCCTCCAGGACCGAGTTTGGACACCCCTGGACTAGAGTCATGTGGATTACTTATTGTGATGCTTTTATCAGCTGTTTGAACTCTCATTCTGACAGCACCCATTCATTGCAGAAGATCCACTGGTCAGCAAATTTTCCTTTTGGCCGAACTATTCCTGACAATTTCATAATCATTGTATATTCATGCAATATACAGTAAGAGTAGAACGAAAGTTTACATCCCTCAATTTGGCTTCTGATATGAAAGAATGATGAACGTATATAAACAGTGGTATTAATAGCAGGTTAGATTGTCATTGTGTCAAGCTTCTCTGAATTAGTGGTTTTATTCAATAAGACTCTAGACAGTTTCTTCCTGTGAGAAGAAAGCCGATCATTTGAGCCAAGGGAAACTAAACACACATTTATCTCTCTGTCTCCTAGGTGACGAGCTGGAGTACCTGCGACCCAATGTGTACCGCAACGTAGCAAGACAGCTCAACATCACAATTGCCTCTGAGACTATAGTCTCTGATGCCTTTTTGGCCGTCGCTGCAGAAATCTTCTCTACAGGTTGGTCAATGCCTTGTCTCAATATTCATTTAGTACGGAAAACTGTTTAGTGTCTGTGGTAAACTGGTCGGTGCATCTGGTTCTAGAGAAGTTGTCCATCCTGGCAGTTAAGCATTAGCAAATACACTAAAACAGAGGATAGTTTATTCTGCTAAAACAATAAAACCTGGTTTATTTATTCTAAATATTATGTTTTTGTTAAATCGCTGAATAAAGAATGTATATTTACAGTTCCTTAAAGGGACAATTCACCCAAAAATGAAATTCTGTCATCGTTCACTCACCCTCATCGTGTTCCAAACCTGTGTGAGCACAGTTTCGGCCAAACAGTATTGGTTGCCATTGACTTCCATTGAATGGAGAAAAAACTCTGAAACATTTCTTAAATTATCTTCTTTTATGGGGTGAACTATCCCTTTAAATGGGTTATACTGTGCTTAGAAAGGATAAAAAGGAATCCATTTTGACATTTATATATACACAGAGAAGCGGTGCTGCACTCGATCAGAGAACTCTGAGAGCACCATAAAAGATGGATTTTTCTTGAAAGTAAACCGTGTCTGAGCACCATGGAAGTTCTCATTCCCTTTGCAGCATACTGTACATTGCTCATATTTAGTACAAGCCCTTGGGATTCAGTTTAGTTCATATGACTGCAACCCTTATTTGACCTCCCAGATTTACTGTATTTTTTAGTAAATCGTGTTCTTTTTTTTCCCAACATGAGCAGCTCTTAAGATGTGCTGTAACATGTTCACATAATGTGTTCAGGGAAACATTGTTTGTTTTTAAGTATTAAAGCATAATTGCTCATGTCAGTCAAAACAGTGCATCAAAAATTCCTCAACAAAAGACACAAAAGTACTGCACCCGGTGATAACCTCGCACCTCCTGTCTGTCCTCATACCTGTCCTGAAGTAGTGCGGCTGAATTGGTCACTGGTGTTCACTTTATTTATTTTTATTTTTTTAAACCCTCTGTGCACTTTTTCATATTACTTTGCAACTATATAGTTATTGTGTTTTTTTTATATAAATGAAGATTTATTTTAATGATTTCACACTATGCTTTGTATATTATAATGTATATTTTAAAATTATATATAAAATATATTGAAAAAATATATGTATATTCACTTTTGTTTTTTTAATTAGTAATTTCAGTGATAATATCTGTTCAGCTTTACTGTGACTATTTCTAAGACAATTTCAAATAATGGTGCAATTTTTAAAGGGGTCACGAACTGAGAAATCAATATTCCCTTGATCTTTTGACAAATAAGAGATCATTGTACTATAAAAACGTCCTGTAAGTTTCAGAACTCAAAATTTTCTCATTAGTCTAAAAACTAAAGCCAATCTGCCAGAATGACAGGTTGTGGAATGTGCCACATTATGATGTAATAGTGTGGCTAAACCCCGCCTCCGCAGAAGAAGATCAACGCCTGCTTCTACATCACTGCCTGTTTAGCCCCGCCCACCGATTCAGGCATGTCGTGTAAATAACAAGAGAAACCAAATGATAAAGAAGGCTCTGAAGACAAGAAGACGCTTGCAGTGCCAAGTTGTGAAAAAACAGTCTTTCTTTGCATTGCCTTCCTTCTGATCTCAACATTAGGAAAGAGTGGATGAACTTTATTTATAATGAAGTTCCAGAACACGTCAGTAAGAACTTGGTCCTTTGTTCACTTCATTTCACAGCGGATTCATTTACAAACGAGGCACAATTCAACACTGGATTTTCAGAAAGATTGAAACTAAAAAACGATGCTGTGCCGACTGTATTGGATCCGACAGTAATGTCACACCACACAAGTCTGAGTAACTGTTTTTATTACGTGGTCACTATTGCTTTGTCTGTTATTTCAGATCGTTTGATATCACTGCATAGATGTCCATCTATGAAGGATGTAGGCTGTCAAGCATACATGCAGAAGTTTACATTGGTGGACACACAGCTGTCCTTTAGAACTTGAAATATGCAAAACTGTTAGCCAATCATAGCAGTGGGCATTTACTTCCAAGTCTACAATCCACCACGCCTACTCAAACAGAGCATTCTGATGAGGGGGGTCAAAACAGGACAGAAAATAGCCTATTCCTTCTAAATTGTGATGTTTTTTGATGTAAAAATCTTGATAACATTATAAGTGGACCTCAGAGAACAGTACAAAATAATAAAAAAGGCAGTTCATGATCCCTTTAAAAGAATGTTTTAATTAAATATTATGCATAAAATAATGTTATGCATAGCATTTTGAAAAGAAATCAAAATGATTACATGTTTTAAAATCTATTTTTACTTTGTGGTTTAAGAATTCATGCTGCCGAAATAGTGTTTTGCTAATGCAGTGGTGTATTAAAATCTACTTATAAAAATAAAAAAATAAATAAAAATCATAAAAAAAATTTAAAAAATGGGGTCACAGGTCAGTTTGGTGATTGTTAGACTCTGCAACACTTGCAGAATTTTCTTAGTTTTAATGTTTTTTTCTATTTAAAGATAAATCTCACATAGTCACAACATAGATGCAAGATTCTAACTGCATGCTTTTTTAAAAAAAAAATTTTAAGCAAAGATAGTGCTTCTAGATGGTTGTATTATTGTACAAAAGGATGGTAATTGACCACTATTTTGAGTGTCAGTGTGCATCTATATTTATTTAATACATGTCTTCATTTGATTTGAAACACTTTGTTGTAAACTATAAAATATTCCCTCTGAATTGTATAACTTGATGTTACGTTCTTACGAGAGGCTTTTATCTCTCATATGCCTGAATATGGTTTCTTTTTTCCTTTGTGTTTCCTGTCTTTGCTAGTCTCACATTAGGTTCCTGGGTTGATATGTTTATGTCTGGCCATTTGATGTTCCCAGACTGGGGTTGGCAGCTTTATTACATTTTTTGTTTAATTCCAAGCTAAAAAGCTTAAAAGTTAGAGTTGTGTATCTAGTAGTCTGTTTATCACATTAGCTCTAATAAATGAGGATGCCCACTTGTTTAATGAAACATAATAGTACAGAGAGCTTTTTCATCAAATTCAGACTCATGACCCTAATGCATTTATGATGAGGGACATACTATTGATGTCATTATGCACTTAAACGCATTGAACATGTAACAGCCACATCTCACCACTTTGAAGGCATGTTGATATACTGTATATTGAGGTTATAGTCACAAGTCAAACAGGAATTTGAAAAAAAAAACAATATATATATATATTTTCTGCTTGTGTCTTTCTGGCTGACACACTAGCTGACGGCTTGCCTGGCAGTTATATAACAATGGGTGAGGGATTATCAGGTATTTTGATGACTCACCTGGTTATGATTTTCATACACGCTTCCACCTGTACACACACATACAGTAGTGACAGTGTACAGTATATGCTGTCAGTGGAAATAAGTGATTTGATTATGCTTATTATGCAGTTCTCGGCTCTGCTACCTGCATTAGCTAGGACACTTTACCTCTTTGTCTGTCAAACAATATTTAAATTGGTTAAAACAGGCAACATGAGAGATTTAACAGTACATGATCTTGCAATGTATTATTTTAAATGTTATAAAGAAATGTCCGTGGACAAGGACAGACTTTCAGTTGGATTATATCTGTGTCCATCTTCGTCTCTCTACAGGTGTAACATGGGGGAAGATTGTGTCTCTGTATGCTGTGGCCGGAGCTCTAGCGGTGGACTGTGTTCGGCACGGCCATCCAGCAATGGTGCACACCATTGTCGACTGCATGGGCGAGTTTGTTCGCAAGAGCCTTGTGTCGTGGTTAAAGAGGAGAGGAGGCTGGGTAAGCAAAAAATCCATTAGTACAATCAATTAACAAAAAAAGTGTTAAAAAAAATGCATGCTTTTATTATGGCTCTCGGCCCAAACATACATAATCATTGCATTCAGCAGTCAATGTCCTAATATTCGCCATCTTTTGTCGTATGTAGCTCATGTTTATTCACTGCTTTCATGTTTCTCATATAATGCCATGGACTCGCTCTCTCATTTCATATAAACAATTTTTGAAATTTGTTGAAATTTTTGAGAATTTTTTTTTTCCATAAAATTTTTTGTGTCCATAAAATGAAAGTGAGTGGTCACCAAAACTGGATTCCAATGTTCTTCAAAATATCTTCTTTTGTGTTCAGCAGAAAACAGATTGTCATACAGGTTTGGAACAACATGAGGCTGACTAAATGATGACAGAATCTTCATTTTTGGGTGATACTTTTGGATGCTCTTTTTATTTTATCTGAAAGTACCATTGTGCTGGTGTGTTTGTTAATCGATCTAAGGCCCAGAAAGAACACAGACTTCTGCCCTTCCGTCTGTGTCCAGTATTTAGACAGAACATGCACTGTTCATGCATCTTATGAGTGGAAATCTGATCAATCTCTCAGAAAGACGGCACAGTTCAGTGATCCTGCTGAACGAGGAGCTGTGCTAGTATGTGTGGCTGTTTTGGCAGGGCATGTCTGTGGTGTCTGTGCTCATTAGACTGTCTCTATTCAGGCAGATTCACTGTGCCAGAGTCATCACAAGCTGCAGCACTTATAATAGGCCCATATGCAACTCCTACAGGCCTCACAACTTCCCTCAAAGTTTTCTTCCTCTGCTTTTGTGACTTTGTAGATAATAACTTTTTGAGACCCAACAAACAAACAAACAAATAAATACTGGGGTAAATTAATATATTATACAAAATGGTTCCGATTTTTTTTTTTTAAGATGAAAAACGGTAATATTGTGAAATATTATTACAATTTAAATAACTATTTTCTAATTTAATGCTATTCATTCCTGTGATGGCAAAGCTAAATTTTCGGCAGCCATTACTCCAGTCTTTAGTGTAACATGATCCTTCAGAAATCGTTCTAATATGCTGATTTGGTACTAAATAATTATAAATTGTTATTGGTACTCAATTATAAATAATTGTTCTTATTGTCAATGTTGAAACACGTTTTTTTCTGCTTAATATGATTTCCATGATACATTTTTTAAGGATTCTTTGATGACTAGAACATTAGAAAGAACTGTAGGCTATTTATTTGAAATAGAAATCTTTTGTAACATTATAAATGTCTTCACTTTTCATCAATCTAATGCGTCCTTGCTGAATAAAACCATTATTTCTTTTTTCTTTCTTCAGTTTCCACAAAAAATATTAAGCAGCAAAAACTATTTTCAACACTGATAACAATAAGAAATGTTTCTTGAGCACCAAATCATTTTATATAGAATGATTTCTAAAGGATCATGTGACACTGTGACACAAAATATATGAAAATAGGAAAAAAAGATATTTTAAATTGTAATACAATTTCACAATATTATTGTTTTTACTGTTTTTGTATTTTTAGACCTCTTTTAAAAACATAAAAAACATTAATTATTTCAAACTTGTAAACAATTCTTAATGTGAGTAAAACGATTTTGAAAAATATAAGAATATAAGAAATATTTTATATTATTAGAACACCGTGTGCATTACAATGGTTCAAAACAGATATTAGTACTTCAATATTTTGGTTTATTAACATTACATCAGTTAATATGAAATACGTTTTTTTTTTGTGAATTTAAGTTAAGTCTGTAAAACCTAAAATTTTGCTGCCATATTTTTAACTGTGAAGTTCTGGCAACCACAGCTGCCGGTATTTTACTGTAAATGTCACAGATTTTTTTTTTTTTTTAAAGTGAGGCTTTAAAAATTATCATTGACATTAAAGACGTGTATAATGTCACAAAAAATATATTTCGAACATCAAAAATTCTGAAAAAAGTATCATGGTTCAGCAGCACAACATTGATAATCATAAGAAATGTGTCTTGAGCAAATATAAGAATATAAGAAATATTTTATATTATTAGAACACCGTTATCTAGAGCAAGTTTAATGTTCTTTCTCTTATTTAGAAGTGAGTACACAAAGAACACTTTCAGTAATTCTAAAGGATCAACTTTCAAATTATTGGTGGAGGTACAGCTTGAAAAAAAGCTGGAATAATTGGGTAAGTGAAAGTCTTAATGGTTGCTTCAGGCGAAATCATTCTCAACATTTTTCAAGGTGTTTTCCTCTTGGGAGTGTCCTGATTTTGCAACTGCTGTTTTAGTACAAAATGGGCACACCCACAGACTGAACTGAACCTGAAAACAAGGACTTTATCATCAGGAGCACTAAACGAAAGTTGTTGTTGATGTGAGTATGTGGGCAGTCGTGTCTACGTGCCATTCTGTGTGTTTTACTCGGTGGGATTGCCCTGGGGGCTAAATGAGGGGCCTATTCACATACACAGATACACAAATTTTTTTTTTCTCATTAAAATTCCTAATTAAGGGATGTCGCCATCTCTCTGTGCCTTCATTATCTCCATCTTGAGTTGTCTCTTGATTTGAATTTCTCTTTCACATTAAAAGTGCTACAGTAAAAACCTGTTAATTGGTTATCAGTACGTTTCCATACTATATACGGTGAATAACTGTAATTGCATTTAATGTAATTTTACAGTAAAATACTGTTAAAATTACGGTTTTTGTAAGTGAAAAAGAAAAAGGCATTGTATAATTTACAGTGAAAAACCGTAAATTGACAATTCTCAGAATTCCCTGCATGACACTTCATATTTTATGTTTTTTCGTTGAAATATCTATGTTTCTTCTTAGTATTTTTTTCTTATCAGTTGTGTACATTAGGGTTTTATCTTACATTTAATGTTGTTAAATTAATGTTTATTGCATTATTTCAGTATCATGTAAGTTACCATGATGGTGTTCAGTGTTTGTGTGAATGACACTGTGCACCTTCTATATATATATATATATTAGTATTTCCCTTCTCAGCTTGTGGAAGAGCTGTTTGTGATGAGCTTTGATTCATCCTGTGACTTTCTCATCACCACCTGTTTTTGGTGGTTATCAGTGCATTACAATGGTTCAAAACAGATATTAGTTCTTCAATATGCTGGTTTATTAACATTGCATCAGTTAATGAAATACGTTTTTTTATTGTGAATTTAAGTTAAGTCTGTAAAACCTAAAATGTTGCTGCCATATTTTTAACGGTGAAGTTCTGGCAACCACAGCTGCCGGTATTTTACTGTAAATGTCACAGATTTTTTTTTTTTTTTAAAGTGAGGCTTTAAAAATTATCATTGACATTAAAGACGTGTATAATGTCACAAAAAATATATTTCGAACATCAAAAATTCTGAAAAAAGTATCATGGTTCAGCAGCACAACATTGATAATCATAAGAAATGTGTCTTGAGCACAAATCAGCATATTAGAATGATTTCTGAATGATCATGTAACACTGACAACTGGAATAAAGGCTGCTGAAAAAACAGCTTTTCCATCCCAGAAATAAATCAAAATTTAAATCACATTGAAAACAATTACTTGAAATTGTATTAATATTTCACAATAATTCTGTATTTTTGATCAAATAAATGCAGCCTTGGTTAGCATAATATGATATCATCTCTTTTGTGTGGGTAAATTTGCTTCTTAAAAAAGTGAAAAAGTTTGCCCATCCAGATCCAAACAAACTGAACTTTAATCATCTGAATGTGCATTAAGCTAATTTGGAACTTTTATAACATTTGGCTAACCTGGTAAAGCTGCCTGCTGAAATATAACATGTTGGCTTTGGCCTAAAAGGCACATAGTTGAGTGCAAACTGCAGTTCCTTTACCTTTTGTTATTGCCAGATGAACTCAGAAAAAAGCACTATTTTTCACCACTATTGAGTATGTTTATTTGTGTATTTGCTGTTTATTTTGTTAATATTTTCTCTGTTCTCTTACAGGCGGACATTACAAAGTGTGTAGTCAATACAGATCCCAGTTTTCGTTCTCATTGGCTGGTGGCAGCTGCCTGTGCCTGTGGTCATTACTTCAAGGCTGTGGTCTTCTACCTGCTGAGAGAAAAATAAAGAGCAGCACAAACAAGTGACGAACAGCTGGACTCTCCCCAAAACTGGCAGAAGGGGTTTCTAGTCAATGCTTAAGTCTTTCACTGCTCTTGATGTGTTTACACTTGCACAAAGTTTGCACTTTTCCTTTAAAGGATATTCTTGCGCTCCAAGATGAACCGATATATTTAAGGCTCTGTTATGTGTTTAACCTGGCCTCTTGCACTCTAGGCATTTCTTGCTGTTACCAATTTTATTGAACCTAATGCTGAGACACAGCAGACACAGCTGAGAGGACACTATCGTGACCTTTGTATTTGCGTCTGAAATACAGTGTTCATGTACATGGACATTGTGATTTTAACAGTAAAAGACTGTAAAAATGCTACAGTAAAAACCTGTTAATTGGTTATCAGTACGTTTCCATACTATATACGGTGAATAACTGTAATTGCATTTAATGTAATTTTACAGTAAAATACTGTTAAAATTACGGTTTTTGTAAGTGAAAAAGAAAAAGGCATTGTATAATTTACAGTGAAAAACCGTAAATTGACAATTCTCAGAATTCCCTGCATGACACTTCATATTTTATGTTTTTTCGTTGAAATATCTATGTTTCTTCTTAGTATTTTTTCAGATCCCAGTTTTCGTTCTCATTGGCTGGTGGCAGCTGCCTGTGCCTGTGGTCATTACTTCAAGGCTGTGGTCTTCTACCTGCTGAGAGAAAAATAAAGAGCAGCGCAAACAAGTGACGAACAGCTGGACTCTCCCCAAAACTGGCAGAAGGGGTTTCTAGTCAATGCTTAAGTCTTTCACTGCTCTTGATGTGTTTACACTTGCACAAAGTTTGCACTTTTCCTTTAAAGGATATTCTTGCGCTCCAAGATGAACCGATATATTTAAGGCTCTGTTATGTGTTTAACCTGGCCTCTTGCACTCTAGGCATTTCTTGCTGTTACCAATTTTATTGAACCTAATGCTGAGACACAGCAGACACAGCTGAGAGGACACTATCGTGACCTTTGTATTTGCGTCTGAAATACAGTGTTCATGTACATGGACAATGCTGTCTAGAACAACATTGTGTTGTCTGTTTCTCTGATTATTATTAGATTTTCACTTTCTCAAGTGGTTTTGATGGTCTCAAAATGCAGGTTTTTAAAAATCAAGATTCGAAAATCCAACTGAGATCCACAATGCAGTGTGAAAAATGGCCAGGAGTATATCTGTGTGAAATGGAGATCAATATCAGGATTATATTCTTGTATTTCCCAAGGAAAAACTCCAAACTACTGTATGCAAATGACTGTGGGAGAGAGCAAACCAAGTAGATTTTGGTTGACTAATAATGAAAAATAGATATAACATTTCAGTTCATGCCATACTTCAAGTCTGAACCTGCCTATTAGTTTTTCATAGTGTTATCTCTCTAGTCTTTGTAATTTAATTTTCGTGTAATATTTTCCCCAAATCTTATATTTGGTGTTGTTGGTGCCACCTTGAAAAATTGTAAGATATCATGGAGCATCACTATAATAACTTAAAACTTGATTATGTATAATTGCTTGTTTCATTATTTTGTTCTCTTGTATGGTTTAGTTTATGAAAATAATTCTGTGGAAAACTACACATCGTTGTCGTGTATGCTACACTGAATGTAGGCCTACGCAAAATAAAAATACTTTTTTTTTTCAAAAATGTATTTACTCTGCTTTTCTTAGGTTGTGAAAAAACATTAACATGATAATAAAGCCCTCATGCTGATAATTCTACACAACATTAGTGTAATTTGTTGAAAGCAAGTGGGAGGACGCAGATTAGATCAGATAACATAGTTTAGTGATATTGTTACTATGGTGATCATTCTCAACATGTGGTTTCATTTACCCAGAACCAAAGAAACTTTGAGAGCACAGCCAAGTAATGCAAGTAAATGTGTTTACTACCATAGCTATTGGCAGAAATTAAATATTATGATAATCAGAATGAGCTTTATCAGAATGAGCTTTATTGCCAGGTATGTTTACACATACGAGGAATTTATTTTCGTGACAGAAGCTTCCACAGTGTAACAGAATGACATTGACAGAACAAAAAAATACAGATAATAAAAAATAAAAATAAATAAAAAATAGAACAAGTAAAATAAGGAAAAAATAAAAAATATACAAATCGACAATTGTATGTACAGGTATATAACAATAGACAGTTGTATGTACAGGTATATCTGTGTTCATTAAGATAAATGATAGAGCAAATATTTCGGAATATGATCCAGCATATTTTGTCTGAAATGATTGAGTAACATTGTCAACTTGGCTATCTCTTTATAATACAACTTTCTGCGTAATAATTCCAATTTGCGTCAACTCACTGACACCTAGTGGGTTTAAGTGGAACTACAGGTGCCCTATTGATTTAAAATGGTCTCACAAGACAGACAAACAAAGGCTATGGTGTTGTGGTGAGGCTGATATTATTTACAATAAAGCGATGTATTACTTCATATTGTTTATGATTTAAAAAATATCTATCACGTGATATGTTTCCATTAGACTTTGAATTTAATTCCACTTCTTTATTTCTTATTTATAAATGTTTATCATTGTTATCTGTTATTGTCTGTATATTTTTCAAAGAACATACAATTCAATTAGTCATAAAAATATTTTAAGATATTTGCAGAAAAACCTAAGGGAGGGTTTAATAAACATTACTTTAGCTTTATGTATATGAAACGTCCCAAGAAGAATTATTAATGTGTTTTCAATAAGGCTATATTGGAGCCAGTATTACAGTCCAAAAAGAGGATCATAGTTTCGTCTATTTTAATTAATTTGTAGAATGTATCAAAAATCATCATCGATACCTGCTTCCCAAAGTCTTTAGAATAATTACAATTATAGAATAAATGTGTGAGTTTCAGATTCAAAATTACAAAAAGAACACTGTGGTGAGATGTCTTCTTTAAACTTATTTGGCAATAAAAACTTGTTACTTGCTGATCATAATTTATCACTGGAAGGTACAGAAAACAATATTTTCCATTTCACACGTGATTTTGGATAACAATATATATTGTTTTTGAGCTTTAATGAAAAGTAGCACACACACACACAAAGGGATGACGGCTTCTTGTTCTGCTGCACAGATGATGTGTAATATCGATTTAAATAATCAAGTGACAAACCAGGTGGACTGTTTAGTTAAAGTCTAGAGCACGGCCCAGGATTGAGATTTTCAAATTGCATGTATTAGTAGTTAGTTGACTATACCTGTAGTTTTTACACAACAACAACACGACAGAAATACATGTCCGAACATGTCAGAAATAGCATATTTAGACAGAGCATACACTATCAACGCTGTTTACGCCGTTCCCGACGTTTGATGGTAAATATCTTGGACACGAAACATTTCTAGCCAGTATGCATTTATGTAAGTTATGTACAATATGCATATGCACATTTATGTAGCGCTACATTCCTCTCTGTGTTAATGTGGGATTGCCCTATTACTCTAACTTGTTTACATCCGCTTCCCAGAGAATGTCCCGCCTTTGAAGAAATTCTATAGGTCAAAAAGACCACCAAATTCATTGAAGTGATCTGATTAGCTATCACAGTAATGACGCATCTGACCAAGGCGGAAGTGATTTCCTATTGGTCAGTGCAGAGTAAGGAACACTCAACAAACAATATAGGCTGAATCACTGTCGGGATGGATGCAGGTAAGAAAACCGCAGGAAAACAATTCCTTTACATCTCGGACATCTGTCCAGCTGTCATGAAATTGTTAAAAAGCAAAATTCTTCTATCGTCAACCAAGCACGCGCCTGTTATTGGAGAGGCGGTCTCTACAGTTTGGGAATTTTTCGTTAAATATGGTACATAGAATGTCCCAACTGCTATCTGGACAGTAAAACAGAACAGTCTGCTGTCAGATGACGGATGGACACAGTTTTGTCTTTTAGATGTCACTGCACCAAAATGCTACGGCCACCCGGGAAAACTGTTAGGCTTTATCGGCTGTGCTTTAGACTCTAGTCAGCTTCCTACCTTGAGCATTTTTTGGACATCACAGGAGCGTTCCAGCGCACGAATGATACCGTTCAGCTGTAAATGCTTTAGAGAGGTTGTCGATGTCGTTTGTTATCAAATTCTGCATACTCTGATCATCTGTTTGCCAATAGCATACAGGTTAGGGACTTTTACACACTGTGTCATGTCTTTAACACTTTGGTGCATGATATTAGAAATAAAAATTTTGTGGCCGTTTTAAAAAGAGTGTAACTTTTGGGACATCGTGAAGTTACACATACACCGCGGTATAAAGGCAGTAAAATTGGTGAAAAATAACGTTCAGTTTGTTGATATTAGTTAATGGTTTAGGTATCAACAATAATTTATAAATTACTATTAATCCAGGTTAAGTTTAATTTATGGATATAGTATTAGTCACTATTAATTCGTATTTGTTCATAATAAAGAATTAGCTTATAAATCTTGAAATATTTGAAGTGCATCTGTAAAAACAGAAATTAGCTAAATAAATGCTTTATTTGTTGTATGTTTGTTCATGAAACTATATCTTTAATTGAAAATAATACTGGAATGATTATAAGTAAAAAGTTTAGATAATGATAGATAGATGGCTGAGCCTACTAAAAAAAAAATTTTTTTAAATGAAAAGATGTCCAAAACGATGTCTTTGTTTTTACCTGATCAAAAGCTCTTTTTAATGTTTCTGTTGGTCTGTAAGTTATGGAACTTCCAGTTGGTCATCATTGGCTTTTCTTTCAACAGCTACTCTCACGTACGACTCATTGCGCTTTGGAGAGATCGAAGATTTCCCAGAGACCTCCGAGCCTGTCTGGATTTTGGGAAAGCAGTTCAGCGCTCTAACAGGTAATGAAGTGGGAGACATTGAAGGTTTTGTGCTGTTGTGTTTAGCTCTTGTTTCATGATGTTCTTTGTGTCCCAGAGAAGGATGAGATTCTGGCAGACGTCACCTCACGTTTGTGGTTCACGTACAGAAAGAACTTCCAGCCAATTGGTGAGAGTCAGAGTCCTCAATCCTGATCTTACTGTCCAAGGAATGCATATCAGGATAGTCTGTTTAGTTTTACAGATGGCTTGTTAACGGATGTGATGTTGCAGGTGGCACTGGTCCCACTTCAGACACCGGCTGGGGCTGCATGCTTCGATGTGGACAGATGATTCTTGGGCAGGCCTTGATCTGCAGGCACTTAGGTAGAGGTAAGACTACCTGTGTTACGTGGTTGGTGATTATGGCGTCTGCTGTTGTCTGAGATGGTTGTATTTTTTTATTAGACTGGAGATGGAGTCCAGGTCAGCGGCAGAGAGCAGAATATATCAACATTCTCAATGCCTTCATTGACAAGAAGGACAGCTATTATTCCATCCATCAAATAGGTACTACTCCTCATCTACCTGCTGCCTGAATATTATAGGAATAGTGTTAAAGTTACTCTTTTGATGGGTAAGTGACTGTATTGACATTGCTTGTTGTTTTCTTCAGCTCAAATGGGTGTTGGTGAGGGCAAGTCTATAGGCCAGTGGTATGGTCCAAATACAGTGGCACAGGTACTCAAGTAAGTAGGCTAAGTCAAATGAAATATTAATTATTATTTAAATAATCATCCTTTGTTTTTTAGTAACATTATAACTGGAAAATGATATTAAAGCTCAGGAATCCTGAAATAAACTACTTTTGCTTTACTGTCTTTCCATAAAATCATCTAAACTTTGTGCCCATCTATAGGAAACTAGCAGTTTTTGACTCCTGGAGCCGACTGGCAGTTCATGTAGCTATGGACAATACTGTGGTCATAGAGGAAATCAGTGAGTTCTCTTTCATAGTGTCTCTTAAGTAGGCCTAAATGGAATCTGCAGACATTTGCAAAGCTTTTGCTTTTTCTGCACCAATTTAGAGGGGAATTTGTAGGAATTTTAGGAATGGATTTGAGCTGAATATACTTTACTCTTATTAGTAGGCAAAAGCATGATGAAATTAGCCAGTATATTTAAAGGGATAGTTCAATAAAAAAAAAAATCTGTCATTATTTACTCACCCTCGTGTCATTCCAAACCTGTATGACTTTTTGTTTCATGGAACATAAAAGAAGATATTTTGATAAATGTCTCCATTTTTTTGTCCATAAAATGGAAGTAAATTCAACATTCCTCAAAATGTCTTCTTTTGTATATTGCAGAAATGAAAAAGTTAATTTTAAAATGTTAATTAATCAGTATATATAAGTATTTATCCCCTTTCTTTAGTACTTGGTTGAACCACATTCAGAGATATGACAACTCAGCCTTAGGTCATTTTTTAAATTTTGCACAATGTGATGGAACATTATTAGCTCATTCCTTCTTGCAAAACCACTAAAAGTGAAGCAGTTCATTCTTTCAGATGTACGATGAGATTGAGGTAAAGACTCTGACTAAGCTACTCAAGGGCATCGATTTCTTAAGTTCTCTTTCATAGTGTCTCTTAAGTAGGCCTAAATGGAATCTGCAGACATTTGCAAAGCTTTTGCTTTTTCTGCACCAATTTAGAGGGGAATTTGTAGGAATTTTAGGAATGGATTTGAGCTGAATATACTTTACTCTTATTAGTAGGCAAAAGCATGATGAAATTAGCCAGTATATTTAAAGGGATAGTTCAATAAAAAAAAAAATCTGTCATTATTTACTCACCCTCGTGTCATTCCAAACCTGTATGACTTTTTGTTTCATGGAACATAAAAGAAGATATTTTGATAAATGTCTCCATTTTTTTGTCCATAAAATGGAAGTAAATTCAACATTCCTCAAAATGTCTTCTTTTGTATATTGCAGAAATGAAAAAGTTAATTTTAAAATGTTAATTAATCAGTATATATAAGTATTTATCCCCTTTCTTTAGTACTTGGTTGAACCACATTCAGAGATATGACAACTCAGCCTTAGGTCATTTTTTAAATTTTGCACAATGTGATGGAACATTATTAGCTCATTCCTTCTTGCAAAACCACTAAAAGTGAAGCAGTTCATTCTTTCAGATGTACGATGAGATTGAGGTAAAGACTCTGACTAAGCTACTCAAGGACATCAATTTCTTCATTTTAAGCCACTTCAGTTTTACTCTGGCAGTGTGCTTTGGGTTGTTGTCCTACTGAAATATCCTCAGTTTATAGTTTCTGGCAAAAGGGAGTAAGTTTTTATCCAAAATCTCCAGGTGTTATGAAGCATTCATCAACCCTAAGGAGATTGCCAGCACATCTGTGAGCTTGACCCCTCCATTGCTGCTGTAAGTAGAGCTTAACTCTTTAAACTCTTTGGGTTTTTTGTGGATTTCTGCCTGAAATTGACATATCTAAATCTGATGGCTGCCCTTACCCACATACAGTTAAGTAAATGTTAAATATTGGTGTCATTTTTAAAGGAAACCCTTTTAGAAAATAAAACCAAATGTAATAAATATTGTATGTGTTCAAAATATCAAAATAAACACACAAAAAAACAAAAAATAGGCGCTTTTGTGTTCTTTTTTTCTTTGAATCCTGTATTTGAAAGTGTATAACTCAGGCCTTGTGTAGAAGACACAAATTATTCATTTCAGTATCATTTACATCTACCCAGTATTACTCAACTGATTAACACCTTTTAATCTCATATAACATTTAACATTGTGACCAAAATTTTACACATAATTGTCAGTAATAAATTAAATTCCAGATTTCTTGATTTTTAAGTGAACATAAATAAAACATTGTCACATGACCAGAGCTGTTTAATTACCCTAAAAGATTATGTCTTCGTCATAAAAAATTACAGTACCATTATACAAATTTGATTAGGATTAAAAAAAAAAACTTATTCAGCAAGAATGCATTCAATTGATCAAATGTGACAGTTTATTTATAATGTAACAAAAAAAAATCAAATTCACATAAATTGTGTTCTTTTGTACTTTCTAATTATCAAAGAATCAAGAAAAATGTATCATGGTATCTACAAAAATATTTAGCAGCACAACTGTGATGATAATAAGATATGTTTCTTGAGTACCAAATCATATTAAAATTATTTCTGAAGGCGCTGAAGACTGGAGTAATGGCTGCAGCAAATTCAGTTTTGCTTTTACTGGAATAAATTACACTTTAAAATACATTAAATACAATTTTGTTATTTTAAATTGTAATAATATTTAACACTATTACTGTTTTAGATCAAAGAAATGCAGCCTTGGTGAGCAGAAGAGACTACTTCTTTCAAAAATATTTTAAAAATCATATCGACCCCAAACCTTTGAACGGTAGTGCATGTGCATATAGTACGCATTATTAAGATCACTCTGGATCATCTAGTAAATCATGATCACAATACATGTAAAAATGTGCATGGTCACATCTGTTGGAAAACACAGAGCCCCCTTTACAGTAACCAACTGATTCAGGTTATATAGCTATACATTTTATAGTATTGTTACATAAAGAAAATTATATATTTATTCTTGGATAATCATTCCATTGTCCCCACAGTTGTCTGATTAAAAGTGTAAAACGTGTGCTCGCTTGTCTTGGAAAAATTTGGGATTGAATTGTTCAATACAATTGTTAAAAACAGTAAAAAGTAATTTCCTTTGAGTAACAGTATCAATTATGCCCAATTTTGTCCATCAGGGCTTCTTCTGTCAAACAGAGGATGATTTTGATGACTGGTGTGCACAGATTCGTAAGGTACTTAAGCCATAAATTGCGTTGTAAAATTTTGTATCCTCAGTTTATATTTGTACCTCTGGTTCACTCTTCGCTTTTGTTTTTCCCTTGTACAGGTTTCAAACTGTAGAGGTCTTCCTATGTTTGAATTGGTAGACAGTCAGCCATCTCATTTAATTACCGCAGATGTACTTAATCTCACTCCAGGTAATCTCTTATACTGCTTTTTCATAGACTCAGAATTATAAAAGACCCCCTAAAGAGTTACATTTATAAATACACACCATTATTGCATAATGGTCATTATTCCACCATTATTCAATCAATTTTTCCTCAGACTTTTCGGATTCAGACCGGCTCGAACGCTTCTTTGATTCGGAGGATGAAGAATTTGAAATCCTGTCTTTGTGAAGAACAGTTGCATTTGCCAGACTTTCAAAATTCTGTGGTAGAGCCTCCTCAGAGGAAAGAGAAGAATACCATTGACGTCCAAAGCCACTGTGGCATAGTCACCTGCGTCAAACACACAGCTTTCTTCTTAAACGGTTATGCTGACTGCTCTGTGTCACCCTGAGTGAGCCGAGGTCAGGTGTCATGGTCACAGGCACTCAGGATCATCAGTATGTACGTACTTAGTTGCATTTATGTGCATCCATATTGAGTCTTAACACTACAGATTAATTTAAGTGATATGGTGCCTTTTTTACCCCCCTTAACTTAAAACACTGGTTTGCCATAACTCATTTTATGGTTTTGGTCAGGAGACATGCTAATCAGATTTGATTTAGCATTTACTCTTAACCAATGAAAGTCGGTGAAATTATGGACCTGTATGAAATTGTAAATGACAATGAAGGTTACCATTACCACGGTTAGGCATTTGCAGATTGGGTAGGATGGCTTGTGTAATTATACAAGAATGATTTTGTCTTGATGTTTCAAATCTCTGTACACAAGTTTATTTTATGAATATTTATTTATCAAATCATTAAAAAATTAAAATACAATAACTATGTATTTTCTGTATACCTCCATATAAAAAAAACGTAAAAGCTCTCAGAGCCGGTGATCCATTCACCTCCACAGCTCTCCAACTGGCTGATTCTCGGCTAAACTGATGATGTCTTCACTCAAAAGCTTAATATCGTTGTGCACCTCTTCTATGGTCCTCGCAGCATCAATTACCTAGAAAAAGAAAGCCAAAAGATAGAGATTAAACTAATTTCAAGGTAGTTACATACTCAGACCTGCCAACCTTTGAATTTTTGTTTTGAGTTTTTCAGTTTGGTTCTGATGATTTGGCACAAGAGTTATTTTTAGCTATTTTAAATGCTATTAAAAACAAACAAACTCCACTATACTTTAAGTAAAACTCTAGTACATTGTTGTACACTGTAGAAAAACATGGATTATCACATGTCTACCTTAAATTTATTTTGAGAGAAGTATTATTTCTATAGATTGGCCATTATTTAGTGCTATGAACTGTTTGAACTAGTGCTATGATGTCTGTTTCATTCATACTGGATACTAGAGGGCGCCCCTGCGCAGAAAGTCCACATATGCATCACCGAAGAAATAGAGCTCACGACTCCAGGAAATACCATACACGTGTTTCCTCATCTCAGCGTACGACTCACGGACACACAAACAGAGCCAGTTTGGAGAGGAATTTTTTTTTATAAAAAATACACGGAAAACGCTCTGATTGGTTGAACTCCATCTTTTTCTGTTGCTTGTTTACTGCGCGTGGATAGAGAAGGGTATAACTGCAGCCTGGAGATCTCCAAATGGGGGCGGGAACTCCAAAATGGGGTGGGAGCTCCAAAATAGGGCGTGGCTTCCTCCCATTGACAGACAGGCACATGACACGCATTCGCAATTTTCCCCCTCAATCCACTTCAGTGCAAACTCCGCCCCACAGCTGATTCTAAAGATTTTATTGGTTGTGTCAATCACAGTGTTGATTTCCTACACTATGCTACAAAAATGCTAACCCCTAAACCTACCCCACACCTGACCCTAACCTTAACCAGTGAAATTGACTGCACGGCGGGATTCATGAAATGGAAACATTTATGTTAAAATTGTACATGGTCCCTTTTCAAATAAAGTTTTAATAATAATAATATCATTCCGTAACTCCCCAACCGGACCTCACCGGACAATGGCACCTTTTTAGTTACACCCAGCGTCACCACCCCCGCCTACCCTGCGAATTTCGAGCCCTGGGACGCCCCCGTTGCTTAGAACAAAGCGATAGAGTAAAATCGTTCCCCTGGGCTGCGCTGGGACTGCTCGCGGGTGATTCCCGTTTATATAATTATGCGGAGTTTCAAACTCCAGTCCGAACACCACTGGCCACGAGCTTTGGGCTCTGCTCTCACGGAGAATATGTATTTATATAGCATATTTTATTTTAGATGAACTAGAAACATGTTTAATTTATAAAGTTTTATTTTGAAATGTAAGTCAATAACAATTGGCTGGAGCCAGAGCCAATGGTGAAAGTCTTTGCGTGAGGAGACCCCGCCCCATTTATTTTGGAGTTCACACCCCATTTTGGAGATCTCCGGTCTGCAGTTATATCTACTTGCGTGGACAGGTCACCGGGTTTTTGCGTAGTTTAGAGTGACAAATCGTACCAGTGTACTTTAAGGTCAAAATGCGTACCCGCTACGCAAAATGCGTACAGGTTGGCAGGTCTGCATACTGTAAATTTACAATAATTAGGTTTAAAAAAATAAAATAAATCACCTTCCAGTTGACTGAGGAATCTTGCATGAGCTCTTCAAATCTTTGCTGAACTGTGCGTTGGAAAGCGCTCGTCTCATACCGTTCAATTCCATATTCTCCACGGTTTGCTGCCATACTGGGATTGAGCTGCAAAAATATCACCAGGTCTGGTTTTGGAAGTCCCATATCTGGATTCATGCACCACTCCAGAGAGAAGCCCTGAACATTTACATAGAAAACAACTAAATTAATGTCTCTACAAAAAAAGAAAACAACTAAATTAATGTCTCTACAAAAAAAACAACAACAACTTTTGTTCCTGATTTTCTGATGAATATTAAGTTCAAAATAACGGCATTTAGTACAAAATAATATTTATATTGTTCATTTATAATATTAACCAAAGTCTTTATGATCCTTTATAAATGAATACCATATTTTTTCCCTGTACTGGAGTAACCGTAACACTCACAGGTTTGGCACTAGTGAAGGCCACTCCTGAAAACGCATACCGGTCCACCACTAGACTGATCCCTTGTTCCAACTTCTGTTTCATCAGAGGCCTGAAGAAAGAAAACAGACTGATTGGTTGATCCACTTAATGAATAATAAATTAATGAACCATTCCTATTCATGCACTTTACTGGATTCATGTGAAATAAACTCTTGAATGATAACTTACACCATTTCCCATCGGTTTGCAGAAAACAGCAGGTGAACAGTATGATCCTCCAGATTGCTTTTCTTCTCCAGGTACGAACTGATCAGCTGACCAATTTTAGTGGCTCTGTCTGTATAACAAAAAAAGTCCTCAGTGCAAAAAATACAAACACTGTCATTAAGGCTGTCTCAAAATCCAGTGAGATGCCAAATCACAGCCTTCTTTATATCATTAAGATCCAGGCAAAATTATGTCTCCTATTATTTTCTATTAAGCCTTTTATGTTGTCTAGGTAGACACGGCTCACTCTTTGAAGGAGATTGGTGCAGTTCCTGGAGGTGCGTTCAAAACCTTCTGAGAGCCAGTATACATAATGTCAATACCTAGAGATACAACAAGCACATTTTAAATAACGGACCCCATGCAGGCAGTGACTGTAGCGCCAGAGCATGCAACATGGCGATACCTCGCTCATCCATGCAGATAGGAGTACCTCCCAATGCCGCTACTGAATCAACCAGAAATAAACAGTTGTACCTGAGTGACAGAACAGAATTTACTCAAAACAAAACAAAATAAAAACAAAGTTATATATATATCAAATGTAATGTAATACATAATTATAAATATATAAAATAACACAGAAGCACACACATATACGTATTATAAAAAACTTCTGCTAACTTAATAAATGTAAATAATTTTATTGTTATGTTATTTTAGTATCACTGATATACTATTATTAGTTTTTGTAAATATATTGAATAATATTTTATGTTTTCATTTAAAATTCTTGTTAAAGTTTTAAGTTTTATTAGCTCTGTCTATATAGTTTGTTTTAGTTTTAGATTTATATCAATATATATTTTTTTAATTTATTTTTATTTCAAGTAATTAATTTTTTTATTGTTTTAGTTTTAGTGGACAATAATAATGCTGGTTAGTCTAGATTGAAGGTATTGGGGGAGGGACATTCTCATTCTAGACAGCATTTGATTGGACACAAATCTGTGTTTTCTATTTTCCATCCTCTGTTTTCCCAGAAGAGAAAGACTGTTATACCTGCTAATGGTGGATTTTTAGGAGTACCCTATCTGATGACCACAAAATTAGTAAAAAATAAACTTACAACTTTTAATAAAGAGTCTAAATCTGAAGCATATTGATAAATCAAAGCTCTATTCAGGGGGAAGGTCTCACTTGTGGCAAAGGTCACCTATGCCGTCTATGGGGTGGACCACTCCTGTGGAGGATTCTCCATGTGTGAGGAAGAACACCACTGGCCTGTATTTATCCAATGCCTGTAAAACAAGAAAAGCATGGTTGGTCGTATGTAGTAAATACATAAATGGGTAATGAAACATAATGTGTACCTGCTCAATTTCCTCATTTGTAAAGTACCCACCAGCAGAGGTTACAACTGTGTTCACCTTGGCACCTGTTGAAGAGTGTTCCATATATGAATTAATGATGTTCTGGATCACCTTTATAACTCTTAGTTCCAGGCTTTCAAGTAAAAACAGAATGAGTACCTATCCTCCCAGCTATCTCTGCAGCCCTCTCTCCCCATATGCCATTGACGGCTATGAGGACGCTCTCTCCGGGCTCCAGTGAGTTAAAGATGGCACACTCCATAGCAGCATGACCCGGTCCACTCACAGCCAGAGTCACTCGGTTTCGGGTCTGAAACGCATACTGAATGCCACTTTTGATCTGATTCATAATCTGAAAGTAAAATGAGCAAACAATGAATTAATTGTATTCATAGATATGGATTATGACATGATTATTTATGTAACAAGACTACTGATTTATTTACTTTTCAAAATCTCTTATTGACAAGATACTATACCGTTTATTTTCTTCGACCGGTACAATGTCACTAACCTGATTCAAGTAATTTTACCTGCGTATGTTGCAATTGTTTAGAGGGTTTAAAGTTCACTTAAAAATGAAAATTCTGTCATCATTTACTCACCCCTATGTTATTCCAAACCTGAGACTTACTTTCTTCTGTTGAACACATAATATATTTTGTCAATTTTGCTAACCAAACTGTTTTGGTGACAATTTAATCCCATAATACAAAAAATACACTGGGACATGTCCCAAAATTACTTTTTTATATATATATATACAAAATATCAAAATATTATTATTATTTATTTTTTTATTTTTTTTTACAAAAGAAAAAAATCACCTGGACATGTCCCAAAATTACTTTTTTATATATATATACAAAATATCAAAATATTATTATTATTATTATTATTTTTTTTTTTTACAAAATATTTTTTTTTCCAAAAAAGAGAGAAAGTCAGGTTACAATACAGGTTTTGAGCAATATAAGGGTAAGTAAATTATCATATTTGGGTCAATTATCCCTTTAAGCCTTTATGATTCAACATGGTAAAGCATCATATTGTATAAAAATGGTGACCTAGTCAGTTGTACCTATAGTATGCACCTAATAAACACAATGTACTGTATTACCTCAATGGTTTCTGTGTGCAGGTGGCCCAGCATGGGCTGTGCTCCGGCTGCTGCGATCCGTGCGGGCACATTGGACGGTCCTGGCCCAAGCATAAGTCGCTGGGGGACGGGGAAAGGCTGTAACAGACATTCCGGTGGAAGAACGGACAGAGAGGACATAATGCTGCCGGCACACTGACAGACTGAGGCAATGGTTAACTCATGTAAACTGTGAGCAAACCTTTCACCTGTTGGCCAATCATCTCACTTTGAGACCTGATACACAGTGATTCACAGTGCAGCTGAGCAGTCAGAGCAGCTGTTTAATTAACTAACATTTCACTTTCCGATTTTCTATGCAAACTTATAAATATATATATTTGCAAAATGGAATATGGAATAGGCATTGTTCCAGCATCTTTCAAATGTTGGACATTAGTGTGAGTAACACTTTGACAATGTCTGGTCATAACAATAAGAGTAGACCACAAATATAAGTTTAAGAACATATTTTTTTGAAATTCTTTATTATTAATGTATTTTTTACATGCAAATCATTAAATGAATTCTAAAAATGTTAAGCAAACTTTGAAATTCACTGTTTTGCTTTGAAGTTGGGTTAAACATTAATTACTTCTTTTACTTCTATTATTTCCAGATGAAACCTTTAATTAAAATAGAGCTTGGTCATTGACAACATTGTATGTTAACAGTATTCATTATTAATTAATAAAAAATATTAATTGATTGATTCAAAACGTCCAAAAATTCATCACATTCATATTTTAATGCATAAAGTACTATTCTGTGTCAGCTGTGTATTTTAGGGGTCTAAGAGACCACACAGATATTTTAATTGGCTCAAAAATATGTTTAACATTTATGTACAAATTATATAACAATTTTAACCAAAACATATCAGCTTAATGATATGTTCCAAAATCTCCATGAAAAATTGTGCATGCTCAAAGAGGATATTTTAAAGAATGTTTCGGTTCCCATTGACTTTCACTGAATGGACAAAAAATACAATGGGAACCGAAGTCAATGAGAACTTAATCTGAACCTTCTTCAGAATATCTTCTTTTATCTTCCACAGAAGAAAGTCAGTCATACAGGTTTGAAGTGCTACAAGAAGAAGTAAATTATGACAGAATTTTCTTTTTTGGATGTACTTTTCCATTAAAATTAAAGATTAGGTTAATTCTGAAATGTAGTAGTAATAGTATTTAATGTTTGTTTGCAATGTTTGTGCAAAGTGTTAGCCAATGCATTTTTGAATAAACCACAATACTGCACAATCAATAATCAATTAAAATAAATTGTACTCTAAAATTACATGCCTCACAGTACCATTTTTTACCTAACAGTGATGAGTAAGGTGAGATAATGTAATGTGCTCTATGTGCTTAGTTTACAGTGGGGCCGGCGTCTTGTGCTGGATAAAGAGATGCTTCCCCAGAGGCTGAGAACTGAAAGAGCCATGACTGTAAACCACCTTCCCTCGGACTATAGTGGCCTTCACCTTCCCTCGCAGAGCAAGGCCAAGGTACGGAGTTAACTGAAAAGAAAGAAAAAGTGAAAAAGAAACATAATTTCCCTTCACTAATACATGAATATTGAGTCAAATTTAGCCTACCTTGTTTTTGTGATGTATGTTGTCTTCGTTCACCTAGGAAATTAAATGATAAGCATTCACTTGCAGGCTCCAAAACGTATTCAGTGTGTTTATAAAGGAAGACAGAATTTTAGCAACAAGCATGTTCTATTTGGATATCAGTCATTTAGAGCATCTCAGCTCAACCCCCTTGAGTGAATCCCTCTCTTTCTCACCGTAAACTCTTTTTCTGGATCCCAAATGACTAGGTCTGCATCGTGACCTGGAATGAGACTCCCTTTTTGGTTGTCAAGGCGACAGAGTTGAGCAGGCTCTTTACACAAGAGTCTTACTGCGTCAAAAAATGAAAACCCTCTTTTAGAAGCTGATGTCCAGAACAAAGATAAACCTGTTGGTAAACAGTGAGATGAATGACAATTTTAGAAATGCCATATAAAACGTGTCTTAGGTCTTTGTTTACTCAAAATACATGACAAACACTCTTGCATTTGGTCATTTAACTTACAATACCATGAATTTCTCTACAGATTCATTTGGCCATAAAATTTGAGTCACAATAATAGCCAACAATTCACAGTTTAAAGGGGGTACACCCCCAAAACAAAATCAAGACTTTGTAAAAGAGCATAATAGGACCCCTTTAACTGTACAGTTCAGGGTGGAAAAAGTAAGTGAACTTTTTTTGGCAGCAATAACCTACACAAGGGACCCTATTTTAACGATCTAAGCGCATGGTCTAAAGATCACGGCACAATTGCTCTTTAGGGTGTGTCCGAATCCACTTTTGCTAGTTTAAGGATGGGGAAAATGGTTGGCGCGCCCAGTGTTCTGACGATTTGTGCTACCCGCTCAGAGCGGAAAAACTGAACGCTTCGCTTGCAAGGAAACGGATCTGCTCGTGCGCGTAATTCTGATACATGCAAAGACTATCCATTATGACATGTAGGCATTTTTATATTTATGTACACAATAATAATCTTTTACATTTAAATTTTTAAAAATGTTTGTGCGCTGCTGCGCATCCCTGTGTGTGTAATAAGCAGAGTGTGTGCACCCGCCTATAGGCGCATATAACTAACGCGCTCTTTAAATAACAAAAAAAAATTGCGCCAGACTTTAGACCAGGTTTCAGTTGGTCAAAGGCGCAGTCTATTTCAGTTGCCTCAAAATAGCAACGCTCCAGCAATGCACCTGAACACACCTCATTTTCAGACCAGCACGCCCATGGGCGCACAAATGGGTGCAAATGCATTTGCTATTTAAACAACGTGGTGCAGGACGTGAAAATTTCAACTGCGTCGGGCTGAAACTAGCAAAAAACAGTTGCGCCACCTCATTGCGCCAAGTGTATGATAGGGCCCAATTACTGTAATTACTGATGAGACCTGCACCATTCCTCTTTACAAAAATGTTTCAGTTCAACATTATGTTTGGGAGGCCAAAGAGGTCAGGACCAAAGGCCTATTTTCTTCTGCTGAACCCATTTTGTTGTTGATTTACATCTGATCTTTGGGTCGTTGTCCTGTTGCATCACCCAACTTCTGTTGAGCTTCAACTGAAAGACAAATGGGCTTTCATTCCCATGCAAAATGTCCTGATAAACTTGAGCTTTAGCTTTCCATAATGATAGCTAGCAGTCCAGGCCCTGATTCAGCAAAGTAACTCTAAAACATGATGGTTAGGTTGAGATGTTGATGTTTGTGTGCTGTGTCGTTTTCCTCAGCATTGTAAATCTTTTACAAACAGCTTTGGTTTCATCTGTTGACACAATGTTAATAGTGCTGTGGAACATCCTGGTTTGTGTGTCATTTGTTTTATCAGACTGTGTTTGTCTTTTGTTCAGGTCAAATTTTATGATGTAGATATTTTTTAAGCTGGGTCCAATCTGAGACTCTGTCTTGATCCCTGAACGTCAGTTTTTTTTCTTTTTAGTTAATCATTAGTCTGATTGGTAAACTGTTGGTGGACCACTGTTTGCCTCACAAAGGACTTTGGCCATCATGTGAGGGTATGAGCATATTAGTACAAGGACAGCCTACCAAACTGCAGAGAAGAGATCCCTCCCCACGCCTGTGTGAAATCACCACTGTCTAAACACTTCAGGTCAGGTGTGCATGGTGAATGATCTGACACAACCATATCAATATCACCAGCTTTGAGTGCAGACCATAAGAGCTCCTGACAAAGAAACAGATTATAATTAGAATGCACTGTAATTAAGGGTTGTGGAAGTTCATTGGACAATCAAAAAAATACTTGTTCACCCAAAATGAAAATTCCATTATTATTGTGTTCTAAAGAAAGTCAGTTCTATGACTGACTTTCTTCTGTGGAACATAGAAAGAGAAATTTTGAATTTTTGAACAATTTTGAATGCACTTACAAGTAATGGAGAGCTTTCAAACTTTAAAATTGATACAAAAGCACCATAATCAAAGTATTAAATAAAATAAGTAAATAAAGTCCACATGTCTGTTGTTCTATATTACAATTATTCTAAAGACATATGATAACTTTGTGGGAATTTTGTAGAGAATAAGTGATTTCCGATTTGTGAATAAATCATTCTTTTTGACTCTCTTTTCATAGGCCTTGTTCAGACTGTCAGCAAAAATCTGATTATTTGCATTTCCAGATATTATACTGATGGGTTTTTGAAAGTCTGGACAGCAAAAAAAAACAAAAACACATGCAATTATCTAATCTGATTCAAACCACATATAAAGGTGGGTTTTAATGTGATTTCAATCTGATTTTTACAAAATGTGTCTCATTCTGGAGGCTCTGGCTGCTCAAATCTGATTTTAAATTGTCTTTTGCGTCACTCCTTACATGATACACAATGATAACATCAAAACCGGTGATGAAAATGCCAAAAGTATCCATACTGTATTCGAAAGGAAGTCTCCTCCATCAGCTTTTTCTTGTGCGACAGAGAAGTTCTACATCGCGACTCGACAGGGTGCTTATTTGGAGATCAAGATAATGCACCTCCATTTTTCCAGAATCTGTTTTGAGAACCTCATCAAAAATGTGGGTACGCATGATAACCAAAGCGACATGTCAAATGCAGAATAAAATCTTGCTAATTACTTATAAAGCCCTGAATGGTTTAGCTCCTCTATACTTGAGCAAGCTCATATCGCATTATAGTCCTTCACGTCAGCCGCGATCTCAAAACTCTGGCAATTTGATAATACCTAGAATATCAAAATCAACTGCGGGCAGCAGATTCGTTTCCTATTTAGCGCCCAAACTCTGGAACAATCTACCTATCGTTGTTTGGGAGGCAGACACACTCTGTCAGTTTAAATCTAGATTAAAGACCCATCTCTTTAACCTCCATATCCAGACCAGATGGTGGATCAGCACCTAGAGATGACCTACAGCCCTGAATGTCAGTGGAGATCATGTCAACTAGATGCACCGCAGAGACAGATCCCCTGCGAAGACCTCATCACCTCAACGACCATCGGCACAAGACCACGGGAACCAGA